GGGAAAAAAATTCCTTCCTGATCCCCCGAGAGGCAATTGGATATTCCCTGGATCAACTTTCCCTATAAATGTTATATCCAGTTATATTCTGTGTATCCAAGAAAGAATCCAGGACTTTCCTACAGCAATCCACTGAGCTGGCCAGAACCAACTCTTGAGGGAGTCTATTCTACATTCTCTCAGCTCTCACTGTTCTTAATTTGTTCAGCAATTCAGGTGCGAATTGTTAAAAAGTGTATGATACTGGAAATCGCACCTGAGTCGGGTTGTAACATGTACTGGACTCTTTTTGGAAAACGCACTGCAGCCGGCCCGCACATATGTGAACCAGTTCTATAGAAAAGCCTTTTGGTTCATATGTCTTGAGAATTTAATGCAATTCAAACCACATCCAATCCGCATATATGTGAACCAGGGCTAAAAGATACTTTCCCAGAAAGCCCAAAATATCTGCACAACTATAAGGCGTGGGTGGTTACAGGATACTCACAGACCAGGTGCCCAGGAGGTTGACAAGCAGGTTACCGCTGAATCGGGCAGACAGCATCTGAGAGATGACATACAGATTGGACACCAGAGCGGACTGCAGGATGATGGGGATGTTGGAGGTGTAGAACAGCTTAATGGGGTAAGTATTGTACTGGCCGCGATAGCGGGCGGATTTGATGGGTAGGTCCACTCTGAATCCCTGCAAGAGGCAAACAGGTTAAAATTAAAAACAATAAGTCAGCGTTTGTGGTTTAGGTCTATCCTGAAGGGAGTAAGATCCTGTGCTTATAAAGACTGCAGGCAAACACTCTGTACACACCTGGAAGTATATAACTACAGCGAAGACAAAGATGGTGGCAATGAGGTTCATGAGGTTAGGCAAGTTCTGGCGGTAGAAAGCCTCTCGGAGAGCGCGGACTTTATCGGTACGAGTGGCGAGCAGGTGGAAAAGAGCGATGATGGCTCCCTCAAACTCTGTGCCTGTGAACAGATACCAAACAATTTAAACATGAAAACAAACTGGAAATACGTTGGCCATCCAAATTTAGGAGCATTCTTCTGGATTAAATCATTAATTTACTTATGGTGGAAGTGTCATAAAATTCAAAATTACTGGGAGGATATAGTGAGTATAATTCAGCAAATAACAGAGGTAAATATTCCTAAGGACCCGAGACCTGCCTTCTTTTCGGTACCGAGTTCTCGGTAAAAAAAAAAATATATAAAAAAAACTGGATTATTGTATTATCTGAATGCAGCGAAGGGACTGATACCCAAGTTTTGGAGGAAACAGGCACCTAAAATAAAGGATTGGGTAGAAAGAGTGGAGAAGATATATAGAGTTGAGGAACTTTGCAATATGGAGGAAGATAAAATGGAGGTCTTTCGTAGAAGATGGGAAAAGTGGGTACAATTTAAAAAGTCAGATGCATACCCAGAATATGAGAAATAGGGAAAAGAAGTGAAAGAGGATAAATATAGTATAATATCAGTATTAATCAAGGAACAGGATTTTTAGAATGAAGTTAAAAGTGCATAATGAAAGGGTAGTAGGGGGGGAGAATAGGAAAGGGGTGGGATAAAAGGTCACCAAGATTAAGGAAATTTGCGTGGAATGTTATGATAGGTGAAATGTAATTTGTCTGTTTTATTGGCTTTTGTATATTTAAAATGGTGATGTGAAAATTTAATAAAACATTTAAATAATTTATAATCTTGATTTAGAGGCTCTTCCTTTTTTTTTTTTTTTTTTTATGATGTATGTCAAAAAACGCAATCTGTATCTTTGCAGCACATCCTCTAGAGCTTAAGAATCATCGTTTTGGAGCCATCGCTGGGGATTATTGCTGTATATACAGCCTTTATGATCTGGAAGCTGTTATCGATTTTATATGTATATGAAGAGTTTTGGGGATTCATCACCAATTATCCAGAACAGTGTGTATCTATTGATCAAGATTGAGGACTTTGTGTATATTTTTCCATATTTTTCCAAATTTTGGACTTTTCTTTGGACTTTGGGTGTATTTATTTAAGTCCGTTTGTATAATTTTCTTTTTATGTTGGTACTTCAGGGGAAAGATTGTGAAACGACTTAATTGGGTTGTATATTAAGGTGGGTTGTGTGCTGTCTCATTTGTATTCTATCTTTGCAGCACAGTTGCCATTACAATTATAGGAGGACCTATGCAGGGCTTTCAATCAAGATCTGACCAGCCAAGAGAAAAAGTTCAGTAAAAACTTAAAATATTTGCTATTAGGTTCAAAACCATCCATCCATCTATATCTATAAAAAATATAGGACTTGATTATATGTTTTATTTACAAACATGAACAAGCTGATAAAAAGTAATCTGCATACTGATAACCAGAATCACATATAGAGCTAAAAAGAAAAATTAAAAAATCATTTGTTCTGTATGTCGTACCTCTGCCAGTGTTTACTGTAGTAGGGCTGAAGGCCTTCCATACAATGGTCTCACAGATGTTGGTAGCAATAAAGAGGGAGATTCCAGAGCCTAAACCATAACCCTCTGCAGCAGCTCATCCAGAAGCAGAACAATGAGGCCGGCAACGAAGAGCTGGAAATAAATGTGAATTGTATAAACCGCATAGAGGATGGGAAAGAATTCATGTCATCAGAAGCGGCCTGAACTGGTGGCTTACCTGTATAGTGATGAGAAGACAGATGCCAGCACCCATCTCTGAAGGATCTCCGTACATTCCTGTCATGACGTAGACGATGGCTTGACCAATTGTGATGATCATACCGAACACTGCAAAAGAAAAAGGGAATAAAGTCCATTAAATCCTGCAGAATTTTGAGAAAAAGTGAAACATATCAATGTAAAATTTCCAGTTAATGTAAAGCTGTACTCTGACTAAAGCTGCTCAGCAAAGAGCCCTCTTCCCCCAGCCTTGATACTAACCATTTATGTAAACTGTCACCCTCTGTCAAACACTCTGGAAAAAAACTGTATGAATGCACCTTGTAAGGTCTTTTACCTTAACCCTAGGTTCACATCTGTGTGGTGGGTGGTGCCGCTGCGGATCTGCACAAAAATCCATGCAGCCGCACCACCCACACAGAAATCTGGACCCGCGGGCGGGTGCCATTAGTTCTAATGGCACGCCACCCGCAATAGAAAACGCAACCGTAACTGGGAACTGAGGTTCCTGTGCGGGCTGCATTTTCCAAAGAAGACTTCTTTCCCTGCGTGTCACGGGCACTCCATTCAAATGAATGGGCTCCCACGCCTGTGCAAAACATGGCCCGCACAGCCGCATAGATGTGAACCTAGAGTAATACCCTCAGCATGCAGCTCCCCGACACCACCCAATCCCATTCTTATACTCACCTGTGCCTGATCACGATCCAGTGAAGTGCAAGAGAGGACAGGCTCTCTCCCTCCTCAATGGCTCAAACACAGCAGCAGAAGCCATTGGCTCCTGTTGCTGTCAATCGCAGACAGCGACAAGCAAGTCAGAGTCGAAGCAGGGCTGAGGTGTGCTCTGTGTGTCTTATGGACACACAAAGCTGGCTCAGGATCGAGCACGTATGAGTGCCCCCCATAGCCAAAAGCCATTGGTTCCTGTTGCTGTCAATCGCAGGCAGCGACAAGCAAGTCAGGGAGTAGAAGCGGGGCTGAGCTGTGCTCTGTGTGTCTTATGGATACACAAAGCTGGCTCAGGATCGAGCACGCACGAGTGCCCCACATAGCCAAAAACCATTGGTTCCTGTTGCTGTCAATCGCAGGCAGCGACAAGCAAGTCAGGGAGTAGAAGCGGGGCTGAGCTGTGCTCTGTGCGTCTTATGGATACACAAAGCTGGCTCAGGACCGACCGAGCACGCACATGTGCCCCCCATAGCCAAAAGCTTGCTATGGGGGCACTCAGCGGGAGGCGTAGGGGGAATATGCCAGAAGCACCAGCTGGAGACCCAAGAAGAGGAAGATCAAGATTGCTCTGCACAAAACCACTGCAGAGAGCAGGTAAGTAGGATTTTTTTTTTTAACCTACATTTTTACTATCACTTCAAGTCTGTCTTTTGGAGGCCAGGCTTAGGCAAATTTCAGCTTTCAGAATGTCTACACACATAGAACTTATGTGGGGTCCACCAGGGATCTGAAAAGGTCACTTTACCGGTATTGCACTATGGTGACTTGTCTCCAGGAGAGAGTTAAACTGCTTCCACTTACTTATGGGGGTGAAAAGGTTTCATGAATTACAGCCCTAAACTAAATGTACAACATGCTTGTGAAATCAGGTAGGAGAAATTGTTCACAGAGAGGCCCAAATATAGCAAAAAAAACAACAAACTGGCCGTGTTTGATGCCTGCAGGGTGCAGGAAACACAAGAACTACGGGCAGCCTAGAGGGCAGTCTTTAAACTTCTCTGTGCTTGTGTTACCTGAAGGAGGTGGAGCCAATCTCTCATGTGACCGTTCTGCAGGATGACTTGGGAAATAATTGTTATGATAGGGGCTGCTAAGACCTAAACCGCACCCATACAGAACAAATCAGTGTGTCCCCAGAATGGCCGATTATCAAAGTTGTGCTCAGACTTCCTATAGCCCTTGGTTCACCAACCTAGTGCATTATCATTTAAAATAATTTATTGAACAAAATAGGTATCATACTCACAATGGACATAACACAGGCATGTCAAACTGAACAAGATGTATGATCCAAACAACATCTGAGTCCATACGATGGAACCCTGGATGACCAACTGGCTAATGCGTTTCGAGGACACAACCTCTTCCTCAGAGCTCCAGAGGTTGTGTCCTCGAAACGCATTAGCCAGTTGGTCATCCAGGGTTCCATCGTATGGACTCAGATGTTGTTTGGATCATACATCTTGTTCAGTTTTGTGAGTATGATACCTATTTTGTTTCTTCAATAAATTATTTTAAACGACAATGCACTAGGTCGGTGCGCCCTTTTTCTGTTTCTCCATTTGTATCCAGTGTATTTGGACCACCCCGGTCTGTTGAGGGCAGCAAGCAGTGCATATTCCAGAACATTCCTATTGAGTCTACTGAGTCCTTTCCTAGCGCAGGAGAAAAGTGTTTGTTGTGTTGGATTAGCCCTTGGTTCACATTTGGACATTAATTGAGGGCAGCCAGTCGCTGACCAGCCCTCCTCTGTGAGAAAGAGGAAATTTAATGTACACTCTTGATAGAAGAACAATTAAACTGTAGAACACTTGATCTGCCGTCATAATGAAACTCACATTTCTGTGCCCCGTTGAACAATGCTCTGTCCTTTGGTGTGTCTCCCACTTCGATGATCTTGGCACCAGCCAGAAGCTGCATGATGAGACCAGAGGTGACGATTGGAGAGATACCCAGCTCCATCAAAGTACCTGAAAGAAAAGAAAAAGGGTCATCACAGGGATTCAGACCAGGGGCAGTACGGTCAACACTGACAGATGTGACAGCCTGTATCTACTTTAACATAAGGAAAACATTTCACCAAGCTCTCATCTCTATTATTATTATTATACAGTATTCATAAAGTGCCAATAGTTCGCTCAGCGCTGTACATTACAGATCTCTAGCAAGTTGTATGGCTCTTGTCCCAGCTCATGCCTAAGTCCTATAGAGCAGAGGTCTAAAAACTTTATAAACAATGGGACAGACTTTGAGAATGCTGGACTGTGGCCAATGAGACTAAAAAATGCCCCGTCACCGGCGTCAGTGGGCAGAACCGTGCCCCGTCACCGGCGTCAGTGGGCAGAACCGTGCCCCGTCACCGGCATCAGTGGGCAGAACCGTGCCCCGTCACCGGCATCAGTGGGCAGAACCGTGCCCCGTCACCGGCGTCAGTGGGCAGAACCGTGCCTTATTGTTGGTGTCAGCAACAGGTACTATGCCCCGTTGTTGGTGCCAGTGGGAGAAATAGTGCCTAAAGGGCCAGATAAAGGCAAGCAAAGGGCAACATCCAGCCCCTGGGCCGCAGTTTGGAGATCACTGCTATAGAGAATCCTATAGAGCTGTGTGTCTAAGAATGTGATTTAATATGGTATAACATTCCAAAATGTAAACACACCGCAACTCATGAAAGATACTTAAATTATGCTTAATGAGACACGGTCACTGCACACTCAGGGCAACGTGGGAGGGTCTGCACATAATCCCTTCTCCCTAGCATGTATACTTACCCAGGCATGTCCCTCTACCACAGTGCCAGGGACCTCGCTAATGGAGCACATGACCATGCCTAGGTGACAATATTGGGCCCGAATAGCCAGGGCCTGGTCACTGAGGGTAGGCTAGGTGCAGACACTATCCTTTTGCTTTAGATGGGCAAAAGTATCAGCATAGCTTTAAAAACACGAGGGATAGTTCATAAAACTGATGCAGCTGTGCATAGTAACCAATCAGCTTCCAGGTTTTATTGTCAAAGCTTAACTGAACACGCTGACGTTAGAAGCCGATTGGTTACTAGGTATAGCTGCACCAGATTCTGTGTGCTCCAGTTTCAGTAAATCTCCCACCAAAGTGTGAAGAGGCCCCACAAAATACAGCAACCTCAGGGGAGAAAATAAAATCTCAAACTGGGCAGTCCTAATTCCATTTAATCAACAGAAATTGTTAAACAGCAAGGGAAGAGATCATGTTGTTTTGGTTGGCTGTCATGCAGTGTTCACAAAACAGACCCTCCACATCTGAGGACACTAGCAGATACATGTTGTTGGTGCCAGAGAATTATTAGTGAAGCTGCAATACCTCTGTTAGAAGCCAGGATAACTCTCATCCAGTAAAATGGATCTGCAGAGTCTGATGACATAATACCAAACAGGGGAATCTGGGGAAACAAACATCGGGCAGATTAGAAGCAACCTCCACACCATACTACAATTATAACAACCATTAAAAGTAGAGATCTATAAAATAAAGGGCAAAAGAACGTAAAAGCGCCAAACCATTGTCAAAAAAAGGAAATGGGTACAAATACCCCGTAGTAGTTCCCTCCCCCACTGCCAAAATTCCTGAACATGCACTGTTGGGAGGGGCAACTTCTTCATCTAATGTATTTACTTTTTTTTTTTTTTTTTTACAATTGATGACAGCACTCTCCATGCACTGTTGTTATTTAAAAAGTAAATTTACCCGTCAACCACCTACAAAAGTAAGTTCATAAACCCATAAGAGCCAACAAAAGGCTTTCCGATTAAAATGATCGGGTAGCTCTACAGCCACCCGATCACTTTTATGGGACTCTTAAAGGGGCAACTACCTGCCTGCTGGTGGAACCCACAATGGTCCCCGGGCTCTCCCATTTTAACAGAACCCAATGTCTCTATAAAGAGGACCCGTCACCTGCCCATGCCATTACACAGGGAACAAAATCCCACCAAACAATAGGGTAGAACAGGTTTGTTTGCAATAAAATGTATTTTAGCCCAGAGGAAAATAATGCATTTATTAAGACAGTAGTAGTACCTTCTGTACGTAAAGAGATCCCCATCATCTGTGTACTTACCTGACAACATACTAAGAAGATGAAGAGTGTGATGGCCGTCCATAATACTTTTTCTTTAAATTGGATCTGCAAAATACAGGAAGTAGATGGAAATGAAATATGTCATGTAGACCTTCACTCTCCTTTATCTCCTTGCAACACTCCACACACCCCCCCTCTATAGATCTCTCTCTCTCTCTCTCTCTCTATTATCTCTCTCTCTCCCTCTCTAGAAGTTCTTCTAGGCGCGCTCTCTCTCTCTCGCGAGAGAGAGAGAGAGCGAGCGCGCGCGCCCTCTCTCTATATAGCGTGAGAGAGAGAGCTCTCTATATATATATCTCTCTAACTATCTATGAGAAAAAGAAAAGTCCCTTTCTGGTTTACATTACTTCCCTTGCCTCTATGCACACCTAGGCAACTCCTGCAGCATCCCAGGATATTCCCCTCATATATCCCAGGAGTCTGCAGAAGCAAGGACGCAGTGGCTCTAAGGTGGACCTGGTGGCACATCATTAGGTACCGGCTGCAAGAACCTGAAAGACAGCTGGCTCCTGATGACATAAGAAAAGGTGGCAGCGCAGAACCCAGACAGTACAGCAACTGTGGATTCGTTATGCAGGTCAGTATGCTTTCTAAAGAAAACCCTACATACAAAGCAAGGCTAGGCTCACACTAGCCCGCATGCTGCAAGCTGCTTGTGGGCAACGATGCGATTGCCGCACCCGCAACGGCATCCCACTCCTCCCGAGTGATGCAGTGGCACAATCACGGGTGCTGGAACCACACGGAAACCGCATGGTCAAAAAGACCATGCGGTTTCCGTGCAGATGGGTTTCAGAAAAGGTGCATGCAATTTTTCCTTGCATGAAATGTGTGCACAGCAGCCCATTCAAATAAAAGGGCTGCTGTGCCCGCACTAGTGTGACCCAGGCCTTAGATGGGATGCAAAAATAAAAAAAAAAAAGCCCAGCATGTGGGTTGGAGGGGGGTAACTGAAGTTCTTCTTTAAAGGTCAATTCCAGGTATGGATAATTTCCCCATAGTTACAGTGGTTCAGCTTGGACCAACATAAGCATGAATACACCATACCTGGCAGACTACCATGGGACATTCATTAAAAAAATGCACAGCGAAAATGGTGCCCATGCCGAACAAAAAAACTTCCAGTGTTTACAACACAGCAGGGCAGCCACTCGGCACAGGAACCAGAAGCTAGTGGAGATCATTGAAGTAGTGGTATCTATACAGGGATTTCCAGCTTCCACGAGGATCCTACATGGAATGTGCATAGCTACATTCAGGGGCGGACTGACAACTCATGGGGCCCCCGGGCAATAGGGGATCATGGGGCCCCTGTGTCTTTGTCCAAACTCAAAAAAGCCTATGAAAAAGGTACCAGGGGCATCTCATGGGGCCCCCTACTGACCCCGGGCCCTCGGGCAGTGCCTGAGTTTCCAAATGGTCAGTCCACCCCTGGCTACATTGGTCAAGCAGAACCAATGTATCTATATACGAAATATTCATACCTGGAAAACTTATTTAATAGAGAACCTGAAACTAGCTAGGTTTTCCATAATGTTTACAGGTACTTATAAAGCGCCGACAATTTACACAGCGCTTTACATATATATCTTGTACATCACATTCATATATATATACAAGGGCCAATTTAGACAGGAGCCAATTAACCTACAAGCATGTCTTTCGGGATGTGGGAGGAAACCGGAGTACCCGCAGGAAACCCACACAGGCACAGAGAGAACATGCAAACTCCAGGAAGGTAGAGCTGTGCTCGGGATTCGAACCAATGACCTCAGCCCTGCCAGGTGGAAGGGATTCCCACTTAGCCACTGCGCTGTTATAAATAACAATCAACACAATGGCAGTCGATGGTGCCAATGTGTAAAGAAAAGCTCCAATACAATGACATGAACACAGTATTGAGCAAGCTGTAACACAGCAACGGCAGACAAGGATGATAGAGGCCACATACCTTTCGTTCTGGCTTTTGGATCTCTGGCAAAATTGCACAGAAGGGCTTAATTACTTCAAGAAATTTGACTGCAAATAAAAAAAAAAAAAAAGTTAGGGGTTAGATTACAAGTATATAAAAGGCTTTACTGCAGGTAAGTAGTTTTCAGCGAGTCTGGCATTATTACAATGAAAAAAAATTTAATATTTATTAAAAGATACAAAATGGAGCAAACTAAACCAAAACGATGTATGTGCACCAGCAGCTTTGTACTTGAATATGACCTTCATATCTGTCAGTGACACGGAAATTCTATCTTTTGTGCATACAGAACTTAAAGGGGAGCTCCACTCACGCTGTCAAAAAACAAAAGTCAGCAGCTACAAAAACTGTAGCTGCTGACTTTTAAAAAAACAACAGCCACTCACCTGTCCCTCGGTGTGTCCTCTGCAGTTAGTTTTACAACCCTTCTTCTCTCATTGGGCACCGCCATCTTCAGTGTGGGCACCCGGATGTGACAGCTTGCAGCTTCACAGCCGGGCACCCACTGCGCATGCATGAGTAGCGCTGCGCTTCCTGAATGGTCCTGTAGTCTTCTGGGACCTGTCACGTGTCCAAAAAGACTACGGGAGGGAGGGGGGAGGACACCTTCCACTTCCGATAGCCTAGGCCAGGGGTAGGCAACCTGAGAGCAGCAGGACTACAAGATCCATCATGCCTCTGCAAGTCATAGCTGTAACTGACAGTTTTGTAATCTTTGCAATGCCTCATGGGAAATGTAGTTCCACAACAGCTAGAGAGCCGAAGGTTGCCTACCCCTAACCTAGGCGATCGGAGAAGAAGTGGGAACAGGTACTTGTCAAATTCGGGTAACCGCTCTCTCCCCCGCCCCCCAAAGGTGCCAATCCTTAATGGGGAGCGGGGGACCAATCTTGAAAGTAGAACTTCCCCTTTTGGGTGGAGCTCCGCTTTAAATACAGTATTTGAGGAAACTCTAAGTGAAATATGGGCAAACTACCAGATGATATACTGGGGTCATAATCTGGCCAGTCAGGTGGTGCAGCAAAACTGGTCTCTGATGTGGCGGGTAAACTTGAATGCAGATACTTTACCAAGGATAGTCAATCTTTTAAAGAATCCTGACAAATGACTGCAGGGATCAGACAGGAGTCTCACACCCCACAGCTGACACTTCTTCCTAGTGAACAGATACCCCACAATTCTGTCCTATCCAGGGTGGATAAAAATCAATGATTTTTTTAAAAAAAAAAAAAAAAAAAAAAAAAAGTCGATTTTTTTTATTTATATCGGATTTTTTTAAATAAAATGCTTTTTGAGGAAAATATATTACCATCCAAAGGTTATTCCATCATGAAATAAAGATTCGTTTTTTAATTATGTAGAATAAGGCTGTATATGTTTAATTTTTTTGGTAAATAAATCCCATGAATCCATTCACAATGTCATGCTCTTCCAGAGTTTCTGTAAGATTATTGGGCAGTTTCTCTGCCTACAAGATATTATCACAGATTCTCGGTTTACTTTTTGCAGTTCTCAAACTGAATTTGACTCAGCGGAGATCACATGCCTCTTCTTCACAGCAAAAATGTTATAACATGAACAGAGTTAAGAAAAAGACCTTCATCCTAACTTCTACAAACCTATGAATACAGAATCAACCCCTTCAGTGCGAAATTTCAAGAAGTTCAGTGAATAGAATAGAAACAATATTTTTCTGATTGTTTGGAGTGGAATAGATCTGCACAAGAAGAAAGTGAAACTAAGTGTGAGGAGGAAGGGGCTGACAGTCTAAGTCTCTTCAAATATATAGATTTTGTTTAGCCAAATTAGTTACCAAACATGGATGTTTGTTTAACCCCCCTGGCGGTATTTCCCGAGTGTAGCTCGGGGTAAAATTTCAATACCAAGAGCGGTAACCCCAAGCTACACTCGGGCTTACCATGCGGCGTTGCTCAGGGGGTCCCTGCAGCACTTTCCTTGTCCTTCGCTCCCGGCAATGTGTCCCCTGCAGCGTCCCCGGCCATCTCCTCCGGCCGATGCCAGCATCCGGCTTCTGTGTTCTGGTCCCTGTGACGTCGGGACATACGGGCGCCGGTACCGGCGGGAAATTTTGAAATTTAAAAAAAAATGTGATATTTGCTGTCATTGCTGTTTCAAACCATTTCACATACATTTTGTCCCAAGTGCTTTGTCCGGCGCCCTGCCTGCATTTTGAATGTTCTTTCTGCCTGGAAACTGGGAAACGTCCATGGCGTCCAAAAAGTGTCCCTTTAGGTCAAAAGCGGTTTTAGACCGGCTAGAGAACAGCGATAGTAAATCAGAACCACTTGCAGAATTGAGTGATAATGATTTGTGGGAAAATTCGTCATCAGACACTGAAAACGATTTTGCGACTTTGCTCAGCGATGTGCGAATTTCCCTCTGTATTTCAAATTTCAGTGTTTTTGGTTTGATTATATTATTGAATTAAATTTATTATTATATTATTTTTTATGATTATTTATTAAATTATAATTTATGATTTCGTGTTTCAAGTTTTATCATACCCGGGATGTTTACTAGACTCTTGTTCGGAACAGATTTCAGCGAGTTATTCCTAAAAATTACAGCCTACAATAAAAAAACTACATGTTTCCATGCAAAAAATGTACCACTTTCAGCACAAAAAAAATCGTAAAGAATTATACCGCCGAGGAGGTTAAACAAATAACAGATGCTGGAATGTTATTGTTTCAGTTGAATAAATCGATTTAAATTGTTATTATTAAGGTAATGATTATTTTTCTCCTTCCTAAGTACAACAGAAAAGTTGTCCAAATATGAATGATTAACCTATTAAACTGGGGATAAAAAAACTAATATGAAAAGTTATTCTAAAAATCTTCATCTACTTGTATATTAAAGTTATACCAGCAAGAATTAGTCTTTATGTAGAAAACTAAGATTTATATCAAGCCTTACGGACTAGTGATTTAAATCGTGATTAAATCAGTTTGATTTAAATCAAATCCACCCTGGTCCTATCACAGTAAGGCCGCCTCCATTGTGTTAGTATGACAGGTACATGTCCTCCAAGGCACACAGGTTTTCATATTCAGATTCTAAACCATTACATCAACACTTGCGCTGAGCAGCCTGAGGTCAAACACAAGTATGAGAAATGTCTTTACTTGTACAACATGGTGAGAGCAGAGAAACGTCAGCAATCCACAGCCCTGACTCATAACATGGGCAGTACTGACGATTGCTGCATCAATATGGAGTATGGGGACATTCTGGAGATTGCTGAATCGCGTTGGAGTACGGGTTAGTACTGAGGATTAGTGAATCAATACGGTGTACGAGTAAATTGGGAAGATTGTCAAATCTTTACTGAATCTGGTTTAGTATTGAGGACTACATCTATATGAAGAATGGGTTAATACTAAGGATTGCCGAATCAATATGGAGCATAGATTAGAGGACAAGTTCACCTTTTGTAAAAGAAAGAAAAATAAATAAATTATCATTTTGCAGATAAGAAAAAAAAAAAAAAAAGTGCATTTTTCTACACTGCGGCCTGGAAATACGATAGACGTTAAGGCCTCATGTACGCTGCAGCTGATAAACTGACATTCAGGAGCTTTTCTGCATTTTTCTTCAGCAGCCCCTGAACTCTCCCTAATGTTCTCCTATGTGTCCGTGTACACAGAGTCGTTTACAGTCGTTTACAGGCAGTTGAGTTTAAAGTCGTTTTTTGAACGCACCAAACTTGCGCTCAGGAGTAGATTTTATCAGCGTTTCAAATGTCAAATGCTTGTAAATGCTGTTAATTGCGTTTATACGAGTTTGCGTTTAGAAGCGTTTTTTTTTTTTTAACTGTTCCGTGTCCAGAGGCTTTCAGGAGCCTATTTTCATCATCAGAAATGCATGCAAAGTGTTTTCCATGTATTCCAATGGACCCGGTACACCAGCGCAGTCCAGTTCCAGGTATTCCAATGGACCCGGTACACCAGCGCAGTCAGTTCCAGGTATTCGAATGGACCCGGTACACCAGCGCAGTCAGTTCCAGGTATTCGAATGGACCCGGTACACCAGCGCAGTCAGTTCCAGGTATTCGAATGGACCCGGTACACCAGCGCAGTCAGTTCCAGGTATTCCAATGGACCAGGTACACCAGCGCAGTCAGTTCCAGGTATTCCAATGGACCCGGTACACCAGCGCAGTCAGTTCCAGGTATTCCAATGGACCCGGTACACCAGCGCAGTCAGTTCCAGGTATTCGAATGGACCAGGTACACCAGCGCAGTCAGTTCCAGGTATTCCAATGGACCCGGTACACCAGCGCAGTCAGTTCCAGGTATTCGAATGGACCCGGTACACCAGCGCAGTCAGTTCCAGGTATTCGAATGGACCCGGTACACCAGCGCAGTCAGTTCCAGGTTTTGTGTGGAGGAAACAATGGTAGAACGCGCGCCGCATTATGCTCATGATGGGATCCATAGTGAATACAACCAGAAAAGACAGGTCATCGCAACACATACTGCTCTCTCTGCTTCTGCTCTCTCTATTCCTCTCAAAATGTCTAAAATAGTTAACTTTTTTTACTATTTTTCAGGGCATTCTGGAAGTTCTCCTGATGTTATATTTAAAAAATGCTTCTAAACGCGCATTAACACGGTTTCAAACGTGGCTAAAACAGACTTTTTTTAACCTACGTTTTCCAGCAGTCAGTTTCCATCGTTCATAGGGGTTTTACAAACGTCCCGTGTACACAGAGCCTAACTCTACTGGCAGCAGACAAATGTTAAACGCAGTACCGCGTTTATTGCTTGGATGTATATTTCAATGGAAAGTACTCTGGCCAATGAAACGAATAAACGCCCAAGCGCTAAAAAACAGGTAGCACTTAGTCACGTTTATACGCCTTTTTGCCATGTTTGGCCGAAACGTTCCTCTCCTGAATGAGAGTCTTCTGAATCACATTAAACACTGCTGCTGCTAAACTCTGATAATAGCCTATGTGTTGATGGATACTTGAGCCTAGGTAAATTCAGGGGCTTTGGCAAAGAAATGCCAAAAATACAGGAGTAACATGCTACAAAAGTGAACTTATCCCTCAACACCAAGGATTGCTGAACCTATACGGAGTATGGTTTCATACTGAAGAATGCTGAATCAACACGGGGTATGGGTCAGTACTGCTGAATCAACACGGGGTATGGCTCAGTACTGCTGAATCAACACGGGGTATGGCTCAGTACTGCTGAATCAACACGGGGTATGGGTATGGCTCAGTACTGCTGAATCAACACGGGGTATGGGCTCAGTACTGCTGAATCAATACGGGGTATGGCTCAGTACTGCTGAATCAATACGGGGTATGGCTCAGTACTGCTGAATCAATACGGGGTATGGCTCAGTACTGCTGAATCAATACGGGGTATGGCTCAGTACTGCTGAATCAATACGGGGTATGGCTCAGTACTGCTGAATCAAATACGGGGTATGGCTCAGTACTGCTGAATCAATATGGAGTATGGGTCAGAACTGAAAACTGCTGAATCAATACGGGGTATGGGAGTATGGCAAGTACTGCTGAGTAAACCTGCACCACTAACCCACACCTCATAGTTTTCGGTCATTATGAAAATGATGATGTACACCTGACAACTAACCTCATAGTTTTCGGTCATTATGAAAAAAAAAAAAAAAAAAAAAAAAAAAAACTATTTCCAGTCTGGAGATTTCTATCATTACAAATCCCCCATGCCTGATTTTTGGGCCCCAAGTTTCTCAATGCCAAAAACCCCAACGCCAACTGGAATTAGTTAAAAATTAATCAAAATAGTTAGTAGCTTGATGCAAGCCATGATTCTACAGAGCTTCATATTTACTACAACTGCTATGTAACATTATGTTGCTTAATGATATTACTGTTACATTTTATTTCTTACAGCTTTTAAAATGTATCATGTAAAGAAAATCAAATTGTATTGATCTTCCCAGTTTGTCCAATAGGCTGCTAAAGACTCCAGATCTGAGGAAGTGCATTAAGCTGGCCATAGACGGTTTGAATCTCTGACCGTTCAGCAGGGACCGGCCGAGATTCGAATCATGTATGGGCAAGCTGAATGTACCCATTTCATTGATCGATCAACTTGGGTACAACTAGCCCGGGTGTCGGCAACCCGCGGCTTTTTTCACCTTGGCTGTGGCTCCGGAGCACACTGCCCACCAGGTGACAGGCAATAGGGCAGCAATGGGCAAACTACGGCCTGGCGGACCTTTTAATCCGGCCCATGGAGCTAGGCTCCCGCTAGGCTCCTCTCGCAGTCCGCCCTGAAGACCGGTGTAGCATGAAAATCTGTCTCCTATGAGGATCTGTCCCCCTCGACGTATCTGCGCATGTGCCGGAGATCGCCGATCGGCTGCTAATGCCTGAAACTGGCACATGTGCAGATACGTCGAGGGGGACAGATCCTCATAGGAGACAGATTTTCATGCTACACCGGAACAGTGAGAGGAACGCGCGGAGCAAAGGTAAGTGAATTGACACAGGGGGGGGGGGGGGGGGCTTGGAGACTTACTATAGGGGGGATGAATTACTATAGGGGGGATGAATTACTATTGGGGGGATGTATTTTCAGTTTTAAAAATGTGGCTCTCAAAATAAATTTCAATCGTGGTTTTGGCGAGATTTGGCTCAGTTGAAAAAAAAAAGGTTGCCCACCACTGACCTAAGGCTATGATTGTGATTATGACGATACACTGTGGCCCTGATTAACCCTTTGCTTACTGGGCCCTTAAACCCCCTTCATGACCAGAGCGCTTTTTGCAATATATGCAGTGTCGGATTTGTTTTAAATGTTGCAATGGTTTTGCGGCTCCCAGTCTTTTTTTCCCTCTCGGAAACAGGTCCAAGTGGCTCTTTATGTCTTAAAGGTTGCAGACCCCTGAACTAGCCTGTCGGATTTTACACGAGATTATTGCTTTTTTTTTTTACAACATTCAGGTAATTAAGTGTTGTAATATAATGTGCATCACAAAGCGGAAATATGTAGTACAAATGTGTATCTGAGCACTGAGTGTGTGGGGTATATTCATATAATCTGAAAGATAGAGTGGCACTTATGGGTCTTGAATGGTGAACATGCAGTGATGAAGTCTTGTTTTGACGAGGCACAAGCTCATCTTCTGTATGGTTTGTGCTTAGCAAAAATTGTGTGTTCCCCTCTCAAGACTCATGAGTGCCACTCCATCTTTTGGGATATGTACACACTATATTGTCAAAAGTATTGGTCGGCCGGCCTTTCCACACACATGACCTTTATTGACCTCCCAGTCTTAGTCCGTAGGGTTCAATATTGAGTTGGCCCCGCCCTTTGCAGCTATAGCAGCTTCAACTCTTCTGGGAAGGCCGTCCACAAGGTTTAGGAGGGTGTCTATGGGAAGGTTGGACCATTCTTCCAGAAGCACATTTGTCAGGTCAGGCACTGATGTCGGGGGAGGAGGCCTGGCTCACAGTCTCCGCTCTAATTCATCCCAAAGGTGTTCTATGGGGTTGAGGTCAGGACTCTGTGCAGGCCAGTCAAGTTCCTCCACCCCAAACTGGCTCCTCCATGTCTTTATGGACCTTGCTTTGTGCACTGGTGGGCAATCATGTTGGAACAGGAAGGGCCATCCCCAAACTCTTCCCACAAAGTTGGAAGCATGAAATTGTCCAAAATGTCTTGGTATGCTGACGCCTTAAGAGTTCCCTTCACTGGAACTAGGGGGCCAAGCCCAACCCCTGAAAAGCAACCCCACACCATAATCCCCCCTCCACCAAACTTTACACTTGGCACAATGCAGTCAGGCAAGTACCGTTCTCCTGGCAACCGCTAAAAACCCAGACACGTCCATCAGATTGCCAGACAGAGAAGCGTGATTGGTCACTCCAGAGACCACAATTCCACTGCTCTAGAGTCCAGTGGCGGCGTGCTTTACACCACAGCATCCGACGCTTTGCATTGCACTTGGTGATGTAAGGCTTGGATGCAGCTGCTCGGCCATGGAAACCCATTCCATGAAGCTCTCTACGCACTGTTGTTGGGCTCATCTGAAGGCCACACCAAGTTTGGAGGTCTTTAGCTATTGACTCTGCAGACAGTTGGTGACTTCTGCGCACTGTGCGCTTCAGCATGCGCTGACCCCGCCCTGTCATGTGACGTGGCCTACCACTTGGTGGCTGAGTTGCTGTTGTTCCCAGTTGCTTCCACTTTGTTATAATCCCACTAACAGTTGAGCGTGGAATATTTAGTAGCCAGGAAATGTCACGGATGGACTTATTGCACAGGTGGCAACCTATCACGGGACCACGCTTGGTGTCACTGAGCTCCTGAGAGCGACCCATTCTTTCACCAATGTTTGTAGAAGCAGTCTGCACGCCTAGGGGCTTGAGTTATACACCTGTGGCCATGGAGGGGATTGGAACAACTGAATCACATGATTTAGAGGGCGGGGCCAATACTTTTGGCAATATAGTGTATATACACACCCTAAACACAGTTTGTAGGAAGCAGCAGTTTCACTTTTCAGGTCTCTAGTGCATTCATATAGCATGAGGATAACGGACATTCCACCACCTTCCAAAAGGCAGTGCAATTTTTTTTTTTCTTTCTGTGTTGTAAATTCAAAAGTTATAAAGTGTTGCTGTTACTTTGTATCTCTACAAGGAACAAAAATGCCTGTTTTGGGATTCCATATTCCAGAGGTGTGCGTTTTTTTTTCATTCTGACAACATACAGTTATAGTATTGAGTACATACAGTATATGTGTAATATAAACCAAGTACATGTGTATTAAATTTGTATACCTACCTGAAGTCTGTTTAACCTCCTTGGCGGTGTTCCCGAGTGTAGCTCGGGGTAGAATTTCTATACCAAGAACGGTAACCCCCGAGCTACACTCGGGCTTACCATGCAGCGTTCTCTGGGGGGTCCCTGCAGCACTTACCTTGTCCTTTGCTCCCACGATGTGTCCCCTGCAGCGTCCCCGTCCATCTCCTCTGGCGGATGCCAGCATCTGGCTTCCGTGTTTCCGGTCCCCCGTGACGTCGGAACGTTCGGGCGGCGGAACCGGCGGGGGAAATTTGAAATTTTTTAAAAAAAAAATGACATTTTTGCTGTCATTGCTGTTTCACTGCATTTCACATACGTTTTGTCCCCCACTGCTTTGTCTGGCGCCCCTCCTGCATTTTGACTGTTCTTTCTGCCTGGAAACTTAGAAAAGTCCATGGCGGCCAAAAAGCGTCCCTTTACGTCAAAAGCGGTTTTAGAACAGCGATAGTAAATCAGAACCACTTGCAGAATTGAATAATGATTTGTGGGGAAATTCGTCATCAGACACTGAAAACGATTTTGCGACTTTGCTCAGCGATGTGCGAATTTCCCTCTGTATTTCAAATTTCAGTGTTTTTGGTTTGATTATATTATTGAATTAAATTTATTATTATTATATTATTTTTTATGATTATTTATTAACCACTTGCCTACCAGGCACTTATACCCCCTTCCTTACAGGCCAATTTTCAGCTTTCAGCGCTGCCGCACTTTGATTGACAGTTTGCGCGGTCATGCAACATTGTACCCATATGAAATTTTGATAATTTTTTTCTCACAAATAGAG